GCCACTTCTTCTCACACAGACGATGGCTGACACACAACACACTGTGGCTGGGATCCAACCCCGGCCTCGCTGCTACCATGGTCATGCCCTCAGACAAACACTGGAGGTCATCAAAATATCTTCCTTCTAGGGCTGCTGGAAGAATTCAGTAATACGAAATCCTGAGGCTTGGAGCCTGACCCCCAACAGCACTCAACAAACGTTAGCTAAGATGAACACGGCCTTGCTAACAGGACTGAACTTCTTGACACACATGCCCCTGGAGTCCACCGGTCCACACAGAAGCTTCCGGAAAGGAGCTGTCACTGTCTCCTGTTCCCCACTTCCCAGTTTCCTCCTCAGTCCAATCCACGCTGGCTTCCATCCCAACAACACCACTGAAAATGCTAGGTCAAGGTCAAGGCTAGTTGACCTTTATGTCACCAACCAGCAGTCACGTCTGTGTTCTTCTCTTGTGTGACCCTCGGCTGCACTCAACAGACAGCACATCCTCCTTCTCCAAACTGTTTGCACTCAGATGCCAGGGCACCGCCCTCCCTGGCTGCTCTCAGTGGCCCCAGCTGGCTTCCCCTCTGCTCCACTCCCATGTGGTCCAAGAGCCTGGGGGCTTACATCACGGGGCCCTCCTTTCTCTTGGTGTCTCATCCAGTCTCACAGCTTTATAAACCGTGCACATGGGGCCAGCACTGTGGCATAGCGAGTAAAGCCGCCGCCTGCAGTCCAGCATCCCTATAGGCACCAGTTCGAGTCCTGGCTGCTCCACTTCTCATCCAGCTCTCTGCTTTGCCTTGGGAAAGCAGTGGAGGATGACCCAAGCACTTGGGCCCCTGCACCCACATGGGAGACCCAGAAGAAGCTCCTGGCTCCTGGCTTCAGATAGGCTCAGCTTGGGTTGTTGCAGCCCACTGGGGAGTGAATCAGCAGAGGGAAGACCTCTCTCCCTCTCTCTCTCTGCCTCTCCTTCTTTCTCTGTGTAACTCTGACTTTCAAATAAATAAATAATTCTTTTTTTTTTTTTTTGACAGGCAGAGTGGACAGTGAGAGAGAGAGAGAGACAGAGAGAAAGGTCTTCCTTTGCCTTTGGTTCACCCTCCAATGGCCGCCGCGGCCAGCGCGCTGCGGCCGGTGCACCACGCTGATCCGATGGCAGGAGCCAGGTGTTTCTCCTGGTCTTCCAAGGGGTGCAGGGCCCAAGTACTTGGGCCAGCCTCCACTGCACTCCCTGGCCACAGCAGAGAGCTGGCCTGGAAGAGGGGCAACCGGGACAGAATCCAGAGCCCTGACCGGGACTAGAACCCGGTGTGCCAGTGCCGCAAGGCGGAGGATTAGCCTAGTGAGCCGCGGCGCCGGCTATAAATAATTCTTTAAAAAAATAAATAAATAAACCACGCACAGGCTGGGACTCATCCTGACCTGGCCTGACCCAGTCTAGTGGGTCCAGCCAGCTATTTGTGGATTTCACTTTAAAGTCATCTACGCACTTGTTTATTATTAGACATCCCAAAGTTAAACATTTCCACCCCTCCTGACCTGTTTCTTCCCTGGTTATAAACCCACAAGTCAGCTGCGACTCCCCCTTGCTCTTCTTCTCCACACCCGACCCCCTACGCCTCACGCTGAATCTGTGCACTTGTCTCCACCTGCAGTGCCAAAGCCCTAGTCTCAGCCACTCCGAGGTCTGGCCTCCAGGCCACTCCAAAGGAAAGACATTCCAGGACAGGGACTGCCACCCCAAATGAAATGTGCCATGTCCACAGGAGGCAGGAGGGTCAGCCCACACGCGTGGCACCTAGCCAGGGTACACAGGGCAATGCTGCGAGACCAGAAAGGAAGCATTGGAATGACAACCTGGCACTATGGTGGGATGGAGTGGACGGGTGGGGAGGGGGAAGGAACTAGAGGCAGCAGCGGATACTAGAAACATTCTGGGGGAAAATGATCAGCCACCCCCCCACACACGCACAAAAAGAAAAAGACAGGCCATGAATACTTGTGGAATATGGAGGGAAAGAGGGAAGAATCCCAGGTGCCTCCTGGGGGGTGCAGGGGTGGGGACGGAGCTAGCCTGGGTCCTGGGAGGTTTCCCCGGGGTCCTCTGCCTGGGTCCCAGAGAGAACTGAGCCCTGACGACTTCTCATAAACTGGCTTCTGGGGTTCCTGGAATGAAGGCAGGAAGGCAGTGTGAAGTCAAAGGCTTTGAGGGGCCTCTTTCCCAGGGAGCCAGAGCTGTGGGGGTGGTCAGGGGAGAGCTCAGTGGGGCCGGGGTCTCACCTGCCTGTGCTCCGTCCTGTCCTGGTCGAGGGTGGACTGTAAGACAACACAGCAAAGGGTTAGGGGGCCTGCCTGACCCCTCCCCAGAACCCTCCCTGGCCCTGGGCCTCGCCTGTCACCCACCTTCATAGTGAGCGGCAATGGCTTTGCGAGCCCGGGGCTTCCGGCCTTTGGGTGCTGAGAATCAAAGACAGACAGATGAGTGCAGCAGGCTCCTTTCGGGTCCAGGGCCCACCCCCAGGCCTGTTCCCCTCTCAGCACCCGGCCTTCCATATTCTCAGCCAGACTCTGGCCTCACAATCTTCCTCCCCAAGGAAAGCGACTGTAATTCATCACCCAAATCGGGATCCTTCTGGGAGCACAGGGGGTGCCATTAGGAATCACACTGAGAAGACAGGTATAGGCCAGGACAGTCCTGTGCACACCTGGACATACAAGTCACATGGGTGCCCCACACTTGTGTCTGCTTACCAGGCCCAGGCCTCTGACTTCGGGGGAGATGCAAAAAGAGGATCAGAATTCCCAGGCTGGGTGGGGCCTTTGGTCTAGTGGTTCAGGCACTGGGTTCAAGTCCAGCTCCACTCTGAATTCCAGCCATTTGCTAATTGCTAATGCACACCTTGGGAGGCAGCAGATGATGGCCCAAGTAGTTGGGTCCCTGCTGCCCACATGGGAGACCCAGCTTGAGTTCTCGGCTCCTGGCTTCAGCCTGCTATTGCAGACATTCAGGAAATGAACCAGCGGGTAAGAGTTTTGTGTGTCTCTCTGTCTCTCTCTTTCAGTCTCTGCTCTTTCTTTCCTTTTTTTTTTTTTTTTTTTTGACAGGCAGAGTGGACAGTGAGAGAGAGACAGAGAGAAAGGTCTTCCTTTGCCGTTGGTTCACCCTCCAATGGCCACCGCGGCTGGTGCGCTGCGGCTGGTGCACTGCGCTGATCCAAAGCCAGGAGCCAGGTGCTTCTCCTGGTCTCCCATGGGGTGCAGGGCCCAAGCACTTGGGCCATCCTCCACTGCACTCCCGGGCCACAGCAGAGAGCTGGCCTGGAAGAGGGGCAACCGGGACAGAATCCGGCGCCCCGACCGGGACTAGAACCCGGTGTGCCGGCGCCGCTAGGTGGAGGATTAGCCTAGTGAGCCGCGGCGCCGGCCCTCTTTCCTTTTTTAAAAAAATTTATTTGAAAGGCAGAGTTACAGAGTGGCAGAGAGAGAGAGAGAGGTCTGCTGGTTCACTCCCCAAATGGCAGCAATGGCCAGAGCTGGGCTGCTCCCAAGCCAGGAGCCAGGAGCTTCTTCCGGGTCTCCCATGCGGGTACAGAGGCCCAAGCACTTGGGCCATGTTCTACTGCTTTCCCAGGCCACAGCAGAGAGCAAGTGGAGCAGCCGAGACTTGAACCAGCATCCATGTGGGATGCTGGCACTGCAGGCGGCAGCTTTACCCACTACACCGCAGCACTGGCCCCCATCTCTCTGACTTTTAAATAAATAAAAATAAACAAATTAATAATACTAGAAGAATTTCTAGATTCAAGCCTTGACTGTTTAGCTGCCTCCCTTCACTCTGTGTGCCTCAGTTTCTCCACGGGGATAATGGGCTCTGCTCTGCCTGTCCTCATTCCTGAGGCTGGGCTGCAGCGGGCTTACCACTTCTGCGAGGCCGAACTAGTCCGTTCAGGAAAGGCAGAGGATCCTGGCTTTCCTCTGTCTGGGGATTCAGCTCCTAAGGGAATTGGGACAGGGCTCAACCAGGGACATAAATTGGGACCTACGCAGCCCCTCCTGAGAGCCACCATCCAGCCCTAGGAAACAGCCACACAGAGCAGGCCCCGGCGCTCAGCCCCCTGCCTGAGGCCAGCCACGTGCCCTCCACCCACCTCGCACCCAGCAGACCCTGTGCAAGCTGCACACCTGCCAACACCGGGGCAGAATGCGCCCAGCCAGCGCATGCACCCTGCGCGCCACAGCTGTCGCTCCTCCAGGGCACGCTCAATTCACACACCTCCGATCCCCACTTCCCCCAAAGCCAATAAACACTCGGCGCTCAGGTGGCAGAACGCTGGCAACAGCTCCTCACATCCATCACCGGCTGCCTCTCTCACTCGCACAGCTGGTGCACCCACGCAGGGACCCGCACGTGCTGTCTTCACGCATCCACAGCGGGCGCACATCCGCCCTGCACAGCTGGCACAGCGTGCACAGCCCCGCAGCCTCCCCGCGCCCAGCCGCCTGCAGCCCGCGCCCACACCCACTCACCGGGGGCTCCGGCTCCTCCTTTGCCACCAGCTTCCCCTGGGAAGACGCCTGCTGGGAAGGAGGCAGCGTCACCCCGTCCTTGTCCTCCTCCACCTGACATCTTGCCCTCCACCCGTCCTCAGGTCCCCTGGCCCTCAGCCCGCCCGATCCTAATGTGCCCAAGGAGGGGTGTGCAGCGGGGCCTCACCTGGGCGGACAGCGATGCCCGGCTCCCCAGGCTGACCACGGCCAGCAGGAGGCCAATGCAGGCCAGAGCCAGGCCCAGGCCCAGCACGAGCGGGGCCAGCAGGGCGGTGCCCAGCTCCCCCCGGCGCCCCCTCCGCCTCTGGCTCCGACGGGTGGCCATGGGGGCGGAGGGCTGTGCCTGCCTCACCGCCCCCCCATCCCGGGACCCGAGGGATCGGGGAGGGGGAGCGGGCGGGCGGATCGGGCGGCGGAGAGGGAGGGGCGAGGGAAGCGGCGCGGGAGGGGGGATGAGGACAGGAAGCCGGACACTGTTTGTGGAATTCGCCTGGAGCCTCTGCGCAGCGCCGCGCCCCAGCCGAGCGTTTGCCCCCGGCGCCCGGCCCGGGCTCCCAGCGCCCGGCGGGGCAGAGGTGCGTGTGCGCCGCAGGGGCGGCCCGAGAGAGCGAGTGAAGTAGGACGGAGCCGGGACTCCCCCCAGACCTGCGGGCTGCGAGGGCCCGGGGCTGCTGCCCACGCGGACCCGCGATCCGACGCCCAGCCCTGGGCGGCGCAGGCCTTGCGGGCTGCGAGCGAGGCCCGAGGCTCCGTCCTCCTGACGCACTTGGTTTCTCTGCACCTAAAGGCAGTCCCTTCCAGGAAGTAGCTGGGGACAGAGAGCGATGAGCTCGGTCGTGGGTTCACCTCTTCCCCAAGCGCTGCGGCCTGCAGCTTACTGGGAGCACGCCGGACAGCCGGTGCCTCCCCAGCCAGTGTTTCCAGAACTTCATTCTCTGGGAACATGGGGCACCGCTCCGGCTAATACCCTGGAACTCCAAACGCTTGTGAGAATTGGAATTAAGAGATAAGTTTATTGTGGTGTGAAACATTTTGAAATCTTTGCATTGAAGGATTTCATTTTTTTTTTAATTATTTATCTGAAAGGCAGAGTTAGAGTAGGAGAGAGAGCTACATCTTCCATCCACCGTGTCACTCCCCACATGACCAGGCCTAAGCCAGGAGCCTGGAAGTCCATGCAGGTCTCTTCCATGGGAGGCAGGGGCTTAAGCACTGAGGCCCATGAGCAGGAAGCTGGACCAGAAGTGGGGACTAGAAACAGTGGCTCTTGGGGCCAGTGCTGTGGCACAGCAAGTTAAAGCCCCTGCCTGCAGTGCCGGCATCCCACATGGGCACCGGTTTGAGTCCCGCCTGCTCTACTTCCCATCCAGCTCTCTGCTATGGCCTGGGAAAGCAGTAGAAGATGGCCCAAGTCCTTGGGCCCCTGCACCCGCGTGGGAGACCTGGAAGAAGCTCCTGGTTCCTGGCTTCGGATTGGTGCAGCTCCAGTCATTGCAGCCATCTGGGGAGTGAACCAGCAGCTGGAAGACCTCTCTCTCTCTCTCTCTCTCTCTGTCTCTACCTCTCTCTGTAACTGTTTCAAATAAATAAAATGAATCTTTAAAAAAAAAAAAAAAGCAGCTCACGTGAGAACGTGGGATGCCAGCATCCCAGGCAGCAACTTAACACAATGCCAACCTTTTTTTTTTTTTTTTACTAAAACATCTTTTAATTCCATTTTCCACCAAGTTTCTGAAGTCCCTTCATGTCAGTGGACATAAGGGGTCCTTCAGCTTGGGGTGTGGTCACATAATATCTCAAAAATAACAGGTACAGGAGACAGTTGGGAGCACAGCGCCTATGTCTGAGTGTTTAGAGCAAGTTAGGTTAGGGAAGTGACCAGGATGTAGAAAAGGGAGCATGGGAGGGCCCTTTTTGTTCAAACAACACACATCTCCATACACCTCCTTCAAAAATCTGACTTCAAAACCGGTTTCTTGCAGCTTGGATGGGTTCTTGCTGGTGCTTCCTTGGAGTCCGCTCCCCGCTGAGTGCGATGTCGCAAGGTACGCCTTCCAGGAACGGCTTCTGAAAAGCAAGCTGTTGCAGTCTGAGCCCCGGCTCCAGTGCCCCCTCTTTCCTAAATTCTACACTTTTGGTTACACTGCCAATAAGGATACTGGACGACAAGGCGGGTTGCAAGAGCCTCATCAAAGGATTTGGTCAAAGCTGGACCCTTTGGGCGCTGAACACGGTTTTGTGAACAGCAGTGCAGTGCTCCAGAATGTTTTAACTGTAACGTCTGCTTGTGCAGATTTGCAATGAAGAGTATTGGGAAACAGTACTGCTGGAAGAGTAACAATTTAACCGCAGGGTAAAGCAGTGGTCCTGAGCAAGGGGAGAGGTGGAGCCTCCTGGCTGGGCCATAGCGCCCCCCTGAGGAGGTCTGGGGTGCAGCCCTGAGGGAGGATGGCAGGAGCTTCCACCAGACCCGTGGCTGCCATAAAGCCGGCCATTAAGCCCCTCATGTAGCCAGAGAGCTCCCCAGGTGGAAGAACCTGACCCACACAACATGCTTCCTTGAAGTGACTTCATCCCTGCCTCAGTTTACCCGCTCCTTCTCTGCAGCCCTGACATTCAGTAAGCAGTTCACGGATAGCCATGGCCCGAGATGAATGAGCCATCCCATCGGCCCCGTCACTCTACTCACTGTACGGGAATTCTGCTTTGAGGCCAAGAGACTCCTATGCCTCCAATCCCACCCTAGATCTCATTAAAATAAGTGAAGATAGGCCGGTGCCGCGGCTCACTAGGCTAATCCTCCGCCTTGTGGTGCCGGCACACCAGGTTCTAGTCCCGGTCGGGGCACCGGATTCTGTCCCGGTTGCCCCTCTTCCAGGCCAGCTCTCTGCTATGGCCCGGGAGTGCAGTGGAGGATGGCCCAGGTGCTTGGGCCCTGCACCCCATGGGAGACCAGGATAAGTACCTGGCTCCTGCCATCGGATCAGCATGGTGCGCCGGCCGCAGCACGCTGGCCGCGGCGGCCATTGGAGGGTGAACCAACGGCAAAGGAAGACCTTTCTCTCTGTCTCTCTCTCTCACTATCCACTCTGCCTGTCAAAAAAAAAAAATAAATAAAATAAGCGAAGATAATAAATGAGAGAGACAATATGGCGGCAGGGGGTGGGGTTGGGCATCTAAGCCCAGTTGTGGTAGGGATTCCAGGAAAGAAAAACACATGTGACCCTGCAGGAGCCCTGAGGGAGGGGAGACTGGAGACAGGGGAGACATAAAGGATGTTGCCAAGCCTGCCAAATGGACCTGGTTGAGAACTCTGCACGCTTCTGTGCAAATCACACTACTCCAACGTCAGCTTCCTGATTTGTTCACGTAGCATGCCTCATTAGCATACAGTTTCAGTTCCCTGATTGGCTGTTAAGGGATAACAGGGGCATCCTGATTGATTGTTATTCTGCCCTTCCTCTGATTGATTAACTCTGTACTCACTTTTGAGAAAGGGGCCAGTCGGGGAGAGCCACTTTTTTTTTTTTTTTAAAGATTTATTTTATTATTTGAAAGACAGAATTACAGAGAGAGGTAGAGACAGAGGCAGAGGTCTTTCATCTGCTGGTTTACTCCCCAGATGGCAGTAATGGCCGGAGCTGCGCCGATCCGAAGCCAGGGGCCAGGAGCTTCTTCCAAGTCTTCTCATACAGGTGCAGGGGCCCAAGGACTTGGACCATCCTCCACTGCCTTCCCAGACCATGGCAGAGAGCTGGATCGGAAGTGCCGCAGCCAGGACCAGAACCAGCGCCCATATGGGATGCTGGTGCTTCAGGCCAGGGTGTTAACCTGCTGCACCACGGAGCCGGCTGGAGAGCCACTTTGTATACTAAACAGCCAGCACTGGCAAGCTTCTCTGGCAATTCCTCCCTTGGAGCCTCCCACCTGAGGGCTGTGGCAGCAGGTCCCTCCCTTCCGGTAAGCTCCGCTTTGCTGCTTTGCTCACCGGGTGCTCGTCTGTGTGGAAATTCTTCCACTTGAGACAAGCACTGAGATCGTCCTCCCCACCTGCAGCAGCTGCTCAGGCTGCTGAGGGCGCAGTCCTTGGTGAGCAAGCAAAGGCGGAGGAGGGGAGCAGGCCTGGGAGCCCGGAGTCCACTGGCAGTGGGCAAGGCGGCGGCAGCAGCACTGCAGGGCCCCGTCCCTCCTCGCCCAGAGGCAGTTACCCCCAGACACGGCGTCAGAGGCTCCTCTCCAAAGAAACCGCGCTCCTTTTCCGAGGGAAGTCCAGGCTGCTGGGATGAAAGCCGCCAGGGGATCCATGATACATGTCCCTTACTCAAGCTTTGGGAGCGACGGGAGGCTGTCAGCTCTCCCCAACCCAAGCTGTCCCCTTTTAGTTGTCATGTCCTATATTTTAAAAAATATTTTTTAAAAAGTTCATTTATGCAAAAGGCAAAGAGAGAGAGAGAGAGAAACCTTCCATCTTTTGGTTCACTTTCCAAATGGCTACAACAACCAGGGCTGGGCTAGGCTGAAGCCAGGAACCAGGAACATCATCTTGGTGCCCTCCGTGGGTGGCAGGAGCCCAAGCACTTGGGCCATCTTCCACTGTCTTCCCAGTCACACAGAGCTGGGACTCAAATCATCACTCCAATACGGAATGTTCATGCCATAAGTGACAACCTGCTGTGCCACAGCACCGACAGGTCCTCAAAGAGTCTAGGCAAAATTTCTACCCAGAGACAGACCTAAAGGAAAATTAATACAATCCGTACACCCCCAGGGGCACCGTCAGATAAAACACAGCACACGTGGATAGTTCTTTATTAAATATTGCTATAGCAGAAGAAGATTGTCCTTAACCCTCTTGGGGTCTGGGGATGAGTCCGAAAATAAAACTAACAAGGATTAATAGGAAAAAAGCACCAATTTATTTAATAAAAGCTTTACATAACACTAGAGTCTTCAGAAAAGACCCAAAGAATCAGGGAAACGTGTATTTTTATGTTAAGTTTGATAAAGTGGATAGCTGTAAAAAAAAAAAAAAAGTGCTGCTCTGGACACCTATACTCCATGTCAGAGGGCCTAGGTTTAAGTTCTGGATCTGCTCCCAGTTCCAGCTTCCAACTGATGTGCCTGGGAGACAGCAGACGATGGCTCAGGTCCCTGCCACCACGTGGGAGATGGGGTTGAAGTGCCTGGCTCCTGGCTTTGGCCTGGCCCAGTCCCAGCTTTTTCAGGCTTTGGGGGAGATGAACCAGGGGATGGGAGAGCTCTTTTTTTTTTTAAGATTTTTTAACAAAGATTTATTTATTTATTTGAAAGTCAGAGTTATACAGATAGAGAAAGGTCATACTCCATTGGTTCACTCCCCAAATGACCTCAATGGCCGGAGCTGAGCCGATCCGAAGCCAGGAGCCAGGAGCTTCTGCTGGGTCTCCCACGTGGGTGCAGGGGCCCAGGGACTTGGGCCATCTTCTACTGCTTTCCCTGAGCCACAGCAGAGAGCTGGATGGGAAATGGACCAGCCAGGACTAGAACCACAGCGCTGGTCCCTCTGTCTGTCATTTGTTCTCTCTGCCTTTCAAGTAAAATGAAAAGGGGCCAGTGCTGTGGCTTAGTAGGCACTTGGGGAGTGAACCAGCAGATGGACCATCTCTCTGTTTCTCCCTCTGTCTGTTGCTCTGCTTATCAGAAAAATACATAAGTGCTTAAAAAAAAAAGTTTTGAAAGAGCCCTGTAGAAATACCTTGTTTGCCTCCAAGCCTTAGCAAAAGTGAATACAGCTTCCAGGGCTGGCGTTGTGGCATAGCAGGTAAAGCCGTTGTCTGCAGCGCTGCCATTCCATATGAGCACTAGTTCAAGTCCCGGCTGCTCCACTTCCGATCCAGCTCTCTGCTATGGCCTGGGAAAGTAGTGGAAGATGGCCCAAGTCCCTGGGCCCCTGCACCCACATGGGAGACCAGGAAGAAGTTCCTGGCTCCTGGCTTCAGATCGGCGCAGCCCAAGCCATTGTGGTCAGAGTGAATAAGCAGATGAAAGATCTCTCTGCCTCTGCCTCTCTGTAAGTCTGCCTTTCAAATAAATAAATAAATCTTAAAAAATAAAATAAAATGAAATGAAAAAAATAAATAAAATAAAATGTATGAAAAGAAGAGATTCAGGAAGACGAAGCATCCATAAAACAAGAACTGGATGCTATATGAAAAAAAAAAAAAAACAGAGGATAAGAAGTGTTTCTCAGAGACTAAAAATGTGATTGCAAAAATAAAATGTTCAAAAGAAGGATTTAAAAAACAGCTCTAAAAATATACAGCAAAAAGATGAAAGATGGAACTCAGAAAATATAAACACAGAGGGCCAACGTAGAAGGATTATATGGTTACTAGGAATCTCAGAAATGAAATGAAATTCAAATAAATAGGAGGAAGGCGAATATTTTGGGGGAAAAACAAAGAGGAAATTTCCAGAACTGAAAGGCAGGTCTTTGTGTGGAAAGGGTTTATTCGTGCTCTACGTAATGAACGGAAAACCAGCCGTACCCAGACACTTCCTCGTGAAATGTGAAGTCAAGAATAAAAGGGCAATCTGAAAAGTTTCTAGGAAAAAGCAATTCGGAGCAGTTAAGCTGCCACCTGGGACCCCGGCCTGGGCTCATCCTGCCTCCGCCTCCCACCCCGCTTCCTGCTCATTTGCATTCAGAGACAGCAGATGATGGCTTAAGTCCTTGGGCCCTGACAGGCCCAGAGGGAGTTTCAGGCTCTTGGCTTTCAGCTGGCCCAGCCCTGGCTGTTGGGGATATTTGGGGTAAAAAAAGCAAGGGATTCGAACTCAGGATCAATCAGCAGCAGAGCTAGGACAGCTGTGGAGCAAGCGCCACGGTCTGTGGCCTTCAACTTGAGCAGGAGGGCAGATGGTCTTTGAACTGAAAAAAGGGTGTGAGAGACAGGTTGAAAAAAACGCTAAAGATGTGATATCATGGTCCATTTTCTGTTGCTCATAACACAATAGTAAAGGAAGACCTTTCTGTCTCTCTCACTGTCCACTCTGCCTGTCAAAAAAAAAAAAAAGAAAGAAAAAAAAGAAAGAAAGAAAAAAAAACACAATAGCACAGGCTGGATATTGGAAAGAGAAGTTTATGAAGAGGTCAAGGGGTCACATCTGGCGATGGCCTTCTCGCTGGCGGAGAGTGGGCGGTGTAGGGCATTGTGTGGTGACCTTGCCAAGCTGAGTTTTATGGCAGACCCACCCTGGAGATAACCTCCTTCCCTTGATCTATCAATCCATTTATCACATGAAAAGATTAACCCATGGATGAGGGCAGAGCCCTAACTACTTCTTGAAGTTTTCACCTGGTCTCACCTCTTCTGATCTCATTAATGGGGGTGAAATTTCGCATGAGTTTTGGAGGGGACCAACCATGTTCATGCTATAACATATGGACTAGGTTAAAAGAGCAGGAGTGGGGGTGGGGGCTGGCCCTGATATATTAAGTTTTATCCAAGACTTTTCTAGAGGGCTGGTGCTGTGGTGTAGCAGGTTAAAGTCCCGGCCTGCAGTGCCGGCATCCCATATGGGTGCTGGGTCAAGTCCCGGCTGTTCCACTTTCAATCCAGCTCCCTGCTAATATGCCTTGGAAGACAGTGGAAGATGGAGGATGGCCCAAGTACCTGGACCCCTGCACCCACGTGAGAGGCCCAGAAGAAGCATCTGGCTCCTGGCTTCTGCCTGACCCAGTCCTGGTCATTGTGGCCATTTGGGAAGTGAGCCACCGGATGGAAGACCTCTTTGTCTCTGTGTCTCTACTTCTCTCTGTAACTCTGACTTTCAAACAAACTAGAATCTCCCAGAAAATTCCCAAATGCTATAATGAAAAGGAGCACACAGAAAACGTGAACTATTTCTCAGAGAACTAAACATGATTGCAAAGACCCCATCTAAATGTGATTAAAATGAAAAACCAGCTGGGATATGACATGACTGCATTGTCACAGTTCTCAGTTCAGGACCTCAGTACTTTTTTTATTTTATTTTATTTTATTTTATTTTATTTTATTTTATTTTTTTTGACAGGCAGAGTGGACAGTGAGAGAGAGAAACAGAGAGAAAGGTCTTCCTTTGCCGTTGGTTCACCCTCCAATGGCCGCCGCGGCCAGCGCGCTGCGGCCGGCGCACCGCGCTGATCCGATGGCAGGAGCCAGGAGCCAGGTGCTTTTCCTGGTCTCCCATGGGGTGCAGGGCCCAAGCACCTGGGCCATCCTCCACTGCACTCCCTGGCCACAGAGGACCTCAGTACTTGATGCGGTCTCCTTGCAGTGACGGGTGCCTCATCGGATTTTGTGTATGGAGGACAAAGTGTAATCCCAGCACGTTGTTTGGCCTGAGCTTCACCAATATTTACAAGGCCGTGATAATGTTAAATCCCACTTATTGGATTTCAGCTTTTAGAGTCAACCGATAGAAAAATCCAGAAGACTAGGGTGTGATTGCAGTAAGGACTTGACTTTTGCTAGGTGTGGACCTGGGAAAAGGTTGT